CTCAACGTATGAGCTGTTATAGTTAGTTGACAAAAATGTCGGAAATTTTACGCCTGTATGTGAGATCAGAAAGGGGCAACTTTTAGTGCAATCGAGGATTTGTCACAAAATCGTTTGTTGCCAGTGCATTAAGTAATAAAAATGGTGGAAAAATTTCTGTCCCACAATCGTGAGGCCATGCATTTCAGTTTCACTGTCATTACGTCTAGTCCACCATATTACCTAAAATTGTGAAAATGGTTGTCAACTACAAAATTTCTGGCGATAGTAATGGGGATCCCGATTTCATCCCGTGTCGTCTCTGTTCACCTCCATACCCTTAGATTAGGAAAAACTGCACAAAAACGTCCTCCAGTACAACTGTTTAGACCTGTATCTAGAAACTAACTCCCAGCTTCCCATAAAATTCCATCGCTAAATAAAGCAAGCCCCTATTGGATTACTCGCCCCTGGCTTTCTCGCAAAATCACATTGTGGAACCTAGCGGCTACGATTTCTCCGCTAGTTAGTTTTGGCTGCGGTACGCAGACGACACGCCTGTTTCTTATTAGAAACGCCCCACAACACTGTAGACCCAACATTTCCAGAAATTAGACTCACTCGAAAAGGGAGTTGGCTAAAAGCTCCCGTTTACAAATGTTTTTGTTCAGCGAAAGGCTGGCGGAGCATCACATACCAGCATACCATTAGGAGGCTTTTGCTGCGGTTGCTCTACGCTATGACGACAGCTACCATACGTCTTGCAGACAGAGGGCTTTTAGCAGCCAGCTTAAGCAAACAAAACACACTGCTATGACAAGGAAGGCTACCGAAAATGGGCACCCCAGAGGTCTTGTACAAAGATTCACGAGTTAGCACGCATAAAGAAAAGGAAACTAGTCAGTTCCAACCAGATGCTGTAACTAGGTAACTGGCATACCATTCCTTACATTAAAAGTGTATCTGGATTCGTTGAAAGACGCCAGGGGAATGGCCAAGTACAATTACAAATGCATTACGTTATTTTGCAAGTCCATTCCCCCGACCAGGCCACAAGACATGTTCGTTCCGTCATGGCTTGAGACTCAGTTTGAATCCCTCAGCGGGAATCGTGCAGCGACTAGTGACATATGTGAAGTGAGAGTACCGACAAAGGCTAGAGAGGCTTGAGTATGGTGGACTTTAATAACACTCGATGACCAAACAACGCCGGCTCCATGGTTCAGGTGCGGCAAACCTGGGTTTGGATGAAACTGACTTATGACGGCAGATAAGCCAGAAATTGCCATCGCACTCTCTTCTACCTTACGCACCTAGCTTA